ACACATGAAGAAATCATTAACATCATCTGCGATCTACCGTGCAATATATAATAAAACATCGTTAATCCCCAACATCTACCACTTAAATCCTTCCCATCCCAACATCTACCACTTAAATCCTTCCCCCGCCTAATATCTACCACTAAAATCCTTCTCGTCGTTCTACGAAATTAACGACCCTCTAACGAAGAGTTAAGCTTAGGCTCTTTCTCTAGCTCCTTATATACTCGATAGATAACCACGCTCAGGTTCAAGTCGAGTAACGCCGCTCTCATTCGTGCGAATGCCTAAAAGATTAGACGTCCCGTAAATCCGTTATATATAGCGACAGTGCCGTTATTCTACCTCCAGTATAAGCGAAAATAACTAGAGTTTTTGAGCTCGAGGATCTCGACCCATCGGTAGCTAACGACTTCCGCTAAGAGCCCCGCCGTCGCTGACGTAGTGGATATCCATATCGTCGAACATAATCCCTCTAATGCGTTTTCTCCCATACTCGAAGAGGACCTTCCGAGAGGGTTCGGGCTACAGCGCGTCGAACCCGCGGTTCAGCACGAGGTATAGTAGTAAGCGATCGAGGACAACTGCGGCACGGGCTATCCGAATATTTCCATCGCACCGCCTATATAACCTGCCGCCTCCGTCAAATCGCGACTAAAAGGGTTTCTCGGCACGAGCCGTTTAAGTCTGAGGCTAAGAGCCCGAAGCGAGATCGGAATATCGGAGGCGGCGAGTCGGTCTAGGTTCGAGCACCACGAAAGAATAAGCCGGGCATCGCCATCCCGGCTTCTGCGTTTAAGATACACTACGATATCCTTCGAGTAAGATACTAAGAGAAACGTTCATTCGTATATAGCCGCCTCTACGCTTCATCTCAGAAGCTTTCAAACGGCGACGAACTAGGTCGACTAGAGTATCCCTAATACGGCTTAGATCGCGTTACGTAATATTATATCAGGATCGGGCGATTATAGCCCTCATCCAGTAGATTAGAGAATACAACTCCGCCAGCCGACGCGTTTTAATAGACGCTATTTAATCGCAACTGCTTAGCCCGACGCGTATTAAACGCCCGAGGATAAGACAGGCATCGAGCGCGTAGGTGTTTACACCTTAGAGAAGACATCGTATCGAATATCGATAAGACTGAACTTACGCTCTCTACACACGTTAAGTGTATACGTTAAGATCGGATAAAATCTCAGTTAAGGAGGACTCGGATATACTTCGTATTATTTCCGAGGATCGAAAAGCCCATCGCACTCTCGACTATAATGAAAGGAATACTATTAAGTATCTCCTAATAGCGATAGAGGTAGATTATATTCAATTAAGGCCTAAGCCATACTAATACCTTAGAGGTAACGAGATTACGCATATCTCGTCTTCGCTAAGTTCGAGAATATTATTCGGTAGCAGTTCGTAACGCTATATTTCCCTAGAACTGTTAGTCGTATACTATAAAATGAGAGCGGGAACTACTAGCGCAGAATATACGGATATATATATCGTCGCCAGATGGCGATCATAGCTATCCTAGACCTCGAGGCGTTAAAAGATATAGCGCGATTATTATCGAACGTTAGAGTCTTAATCGATTAAGACTCGATAGAAGATTGTATAATGCGGCTAAGATCTTCAGCGCTGCGATATAAAGTAGGTTTAATATACTTTCTAGCCGTTAGTAGTAACCGTTCTTTTCTAATCATAGGGATCAGAGAAACTTTAATAGAATTCGAGTTATTTTTCGCTATTAGCCGCTCGCAGAGCCGTCATTAACTTAGCAACGATTAAGCGCGCGGACCAGCCAAACCTCGAGCACTCGCGTTTAAGAAGTATACTTTATTCTTAATTCTCTCAACATCATAATATCACATATCATTCGTCGAAAGGATTGCGAACATATATACCTTTAAAGAGCTTCACGGCCGTATTACCTAGGTATACCGCTAAGAAGACGACGATAGATGTTAACGGAGATTTAATAAAGGTGGATAAGAATTTAATAAAGGTAAATAAGGTCGGACTTAACGACGTAGATTTAACTACGACGCTACGCTCCTAGAGGTAGAAATATACTAATTCTCGCTACTTGCTTATAGGCGGGAATATAAGCTAAGATAGAACTCTATATAGGCGCGTTCGCTAGCTATAACTAAAGATATACTAGCTCAAAGATCTATAGGTGAAGGCTCATATCGACGATATCTTTCTAACGTTCGTCGATAGTCTAAGAGTCTTTATTTAAGATTAATCTAATCTCAGCCGAAGTAGTTTAATTCGGTTACTAATATCTATATAGCGGAGAATAACGTATCTAAGTCTAAGACGCTCGACGATCGATTAATGAAAGTCGGCGCCCTCTTCGTTTATTAAAAAACTTAGTAAGCTAAAGAAACCCACCTTTATCGAGAGGCTGTAGGCTTCTCATCAATACCTCATACGCTTCACTAAAAGATACCTACTAACGCTATCAATAGGCCCTACGAGCGAACGAAGAGAAGGAGGCTAGAAAAGCGACGGTAGATGGGGTCACGGAAAAGGTTCAAGGTAGATCAAACCCGTTCTATAACTTTAAACTATGAATATACTAATAGAGGCGTAGTAATCGTATTTAAGAGTACCGATAACGATCTTCTTCGAGTAAATGATAGTCCCAGCAAGCGTGATAAGGAAAAGAATAAGGAACTCGGCAAGAAGGTGTTAAAAAATTATAAGGTAAATATGCGTAGGCAAAAATTAAGGGAGTAAAGCCTTACTTAGTAGTAAGGTATTACGGCTCTAGTCTAGTAGTACCGCACAATAGAGTCGAATATATTACTTCAAGAAACTATCTAATAATAAAGAGTCATTACAACGTTTATACTATAACATATAATACATAAATAAACGCCGCCGAAATCCTAATATCTAACCCCTTCTACACTTATAGCGTACGCTTAACTTAATTAACTCCTTAACTTACTCCGCCCGTAGGCGAGTCCTTACAACGTCCATACTATAATATATAATATATAAATAAACACCGCCGAAATCCTAATATCTAACCCCTTCTACACTTATAGCGTACGCTCAACTCAATTAACTCCTTAACTTACTCCGCCCGTGGGCGAGGCGAATAAATTAGATTTTAGCGCGTGGAGTATAGGCCTAGTAGATTACGGCCGCGACGGTTATTCGCTTTATCTAAGAGCGTGTCTTTGCTATAGAAGGTAGCGCCTATCCTTCCCCTAAACCCATTATAGGTCCGCACGTCGTCCCTCGCCATATCTTTAGTAGAGTATAAAGTAATTAGCGTTTACATACCGGATAAGTCCGATTCAGCGGTAGTCGACGCTTCTTTCACTCGTAAACCAAGGTCGTAAGGCGGAAACGGTAAGGTTATCGAGAATCTCTATTTTTGCCTACGCGCTGATCTACTCGAGTCTATAGCTTACGACCAGAAACGGCGATAGTCAATTTAGCACGAAGGTGAGTGGTACTAATCGCTGCGAATAATCTTCGCACTTCAATTATTTGAGATTATCGAGATTATCTAACGCCTTTACCTTGAAGGGAAGGTTCACTTAATCCTTTCAGGCTCGGGCTTCGACGCGTTTCGCGTTATTATTGATCTCGAAGCCGATATAGTAAACTCGAAAGGGCGGATCGTCGTTATAAGTTTTTACGGTACAGCCGAGGCACTGGTAACCACCCTTCTACGTTTAGAATACGCTACAATATCCTTCGAAAAGAAGATAAAGAATATAATCGTGGGGGAGGAAACCGCCTTTACGCTCATCCGGAGTTACACGTAGACGATTACGGATTAACCTAACGAGGGCGTCTCTGATCTCGTTCACGTCGTATTACGTTAGATCTTACCAAGAACGAGGCGATAGTCGCCCTCATTCAGAACGTCAAGCACTCATTATCGAACAGATTTTTCTCCTCTGCCGGCGGCATCTGGTCGTATTTATTTATACCGATACGTATTAGGCGTCCAAGTACGAGATAGACGTTTCACGGCGTAGGTATTATCTCTCCTAAGAGAGTAGAGTGTCTAATCTAAACTCTAGGCACCCCGACTCTCCGAGGGAGGCTAAAGGTCCATATCAAGTGTACCTCCATATCTATAAGCGTCTAGGTCGAAAGGTAGATCAGGGTGCCTTCGCATAGGCCATTAAGCCTCATATCCTTATTGGCGACTTCAGCACGAACGTATGTATTTATAAGGTAACTTTGATGGCGTCGTTGAAAGCGTAAGAGGTAGTCTATAGTTAACTAAGGCGCTAGCCATACGGATGCCTTAAAGATAACGAGATTACGTATCTCGTCTTCGCTAAGCTCGAGGATATTAACCGATAGCAGTTAATAACGTTCGAACTTCCTAAAATCGTTCGTTAGCCGTAAACTATAGATCGAGAGCTGACACTACAGGCGTAGATATACGATTATATATATCGTCGCCAGATAGCGATTAAAGTCATCTTAAACCTCGAGGCGTAGAAAGGTACGGCGCTTATAACGCTTATAGTGTGAATTGATGAGGATTAAGTCTTGATTAGTTAAGAGCTAAAGGCGGGTAAACTTACAGTAGAATCGTCCTTCGGATATTAAACGTATTTGAGTAGATATAGAGAAAGTCTAGAGGGCGAGTAATTGGCGAAAAGAATACGCTTTATAAATCTAGCGATAAATATTTCTCGATTTATAATACCGCGAAAGCTAGTCTAAAATAAACTCCGCGTTATTAATTAATTAGGCGATACGCTAGCGAAGAGTCTAAGTTAGCCTAAAGGTAGCTCGACAGTATAAGATAATATAATTACCGTGTAATCATCAGAACGATAGAACTTCACGAGGCTTTCGGACGTAATAATATATTTTCATTCGAGATCGGTTCTTATAACAATCTAATATACATATAGTTCAAGATGCAGGTACGCCCCGTGAAAGTACCCACATCTACGTTCGTCGCTAGCCTTATTCCCGCCATCATCCCTCGACCCCAATAGATTCTACACCTCCCCCACGCTAACTTCATCATCCCTATTCCGATCTATATCGATCTCTAAGCCTTCTATAACGATTAACCGATCGTCGATACCCTCTACTTCATATTTATCGAGATCTTCATTAGATTCTAATATCCTCTCCAGATCAGAATCGCGATCGAAAGTCTCATCTCCAAGGACCTCTCCAACTCCTTTATCTACAATTACGACTAGATTAGACGGAGATTCCATACTCATAACGGCCACCTACCTTAATTAAGCTACTGGCGACGACACTAAAGTAAATAAACGAGTTATTCCATATCATTCGAAATCCAATTACTCGTCTAAGAACTCATATAGAAGAGCGATTAACTAAAGAAGAAGTACGTTAGCGGACAAGGTCGTTAGCTTATAATATGCTAGCTGATCTAAGATAAAGGAGAATCGCCTAAAGAGCGAACGACACTCTCTCGAGATATGTCATCTATCGTAAAGGTTGGACTACTATAGGTAAGTAGACAGCGAGAGTCGTAAAATAAAGCTATTCTAGCGAAATTATTATTTTTAAGCGCTTTATTTATTTATTTATTCTAGATAACGCGGAAGATCCCATATCCCGCTTCCCGGGCGTTTCTATAATATTTATAGCGAATGCTAAGTAATACGTAAGGAAAACAACAGTTACTCGTTAGTACCCTTACCAGTATTAATCCCCAGCGACGTCCGCTAATCTTAATCATCCCAAATCTTACCTATAAGCTACCACACATTATTGTCTCAGATATTAGATTCTCGCACCGATTAACGCTGAAGGAAATATACTTGAAGACCAGCTGGCGAGGTCTAACGATATCCTTTATACTATCTACCACTCCCATATCTCGACACCTACTAAGGTCAGCTGCGACTACATCGAATAGAAGTAATTCGATCGTAATAAGTAAGTTCGAAATCGAGATCTCTCTCTCGAGGAAAGTCTATAGTTCGATAGATATTCTTATTCTTAAAATAAGCCGCCCGCGAAGGTAAACTCGATAGAGAGTATAACATATAAGCAACCACGTTGCTGGAGTTAACTAAGATCTACCGCGAGGCTACGAAAAGCGACGAGCATAATCTAGACTCCACCGTCGTCGTTGATTCCAGCTTCTCAATTATCCGACACATCTCGCGGCGTAAACAAACCCGATAGAGGTACGATTAAGAATCCTACCGTCTCGAAAGATTATTATAACAGAGAAAGCTAATCCGCATAAGACAAACTTCCTATAAGGTTCAAATACGACCGAGGGCAATCACGACGACGGTAGACTCTTCTACCGACGCCAAAGGGGATTCGTAGAATCCCTAGATACCTCCTTCACAATATAGTAAATCACAACATAGTAAATCGCAACATAGTAAACCGCAAATCCACGGCGAAAAGGGGAATAAGAGGCGGAAGACGAAGAACCTATTCTCTAACCGAGTGCGGGTATACCAGAAATAAGGTAAAAATAATACGGCCTTAATCGCTACGATAGATCGATAAGAGTCTATAGCGCGAGGGGTGTAGGAGCTACGTTCAGGAACGGTCGATTAAGAGAAAGAACATAAACGGGTAAAGAAAAAGCCGGCTACTCGAAGGCGAGGCGGAGATAAAACAACGTAAACATATCGACGGAGACGGCCGACTTAATCAATAATCAAATCATATATTTCTACCGGGTGTTTAAAAGACCAGACGCCAGCCGACTGCATAACCTAATAAGACGGAATCCGATTATATCTAAAGAAGGGAAGGGCATTAAAGCATCATCCGCCGACGATACAGCTCTTACTAAAGAATCGACAGCGGCCGTTAAAGAAGTGGATCGAGTCTCTACAATAACAACATCAAACGCGTATCGAGGAACTAAATGCTATCTTCAAGCGATACCTATCCGATATAAAGCAATATCAGAAATACGAGAAGACGTTACGAGATACCGAAATCCCCGGTTCCGATACACACGAGCGGATGCGAGCCTTAAATCTAACGACCTTTTAAGGACGTAGGGTTATAACTCTCGTTAAAGCCTACTACCTTTACGTGATATAAGGCTTTAATATCGAGCAGGCGGCGGCGAAAGAGGAAGACATCACTGACGGCGATCTACGCCGAGCTCGAAATAAGCTATAGAACTCGATTGCGGTAAGTAAGACCTATTTTATCTTACAGAACGTATTCACGCCTAATATCTTTACCCTCTTACCGAAGCAAATTCCCAACTAATAGATATCTTTCCTACAGACTCCTATAAACCTATCTTCTTATCATCTATACTAAAACGTAATAACAGCTTCCGAAGCTCGATGTAGTCGGGAATAAGTCTTACGAAGGTGACGCACCGCATTACCTCCAGTATTCCAGAGACCATAGCATTATACCGCAACATTCTCGAGCTTATATTAAACCCCTTAATCGAAGGCCAAGATATTCGATTCTTAAAGATGAAGACCTCGAAGCGTAGCCGACTAAGCTTACTACAATTAATTACACCGACAGAGATCGAGCTAACTATAAGTATAGATATCGAGAACATCAAAAGCGAAGACCAGCGGCGAATTTAAGAGATCGAGGAGAATATAGACGTTATTACGCAGAGGCTGCTAGATCTAATACCGCCAGACGATAATATCACGTCTTCGACCTCGAAGGTTCAGCCGTCAAATCGAGATAACGCAGACGTTGCTCTCGATAAGAGCAAAGAAGAAGAGTCATTTCATTCCTCGGCTATATTCCGATCGTGAAGGTAATAAATAATATTCATATAAGATCCGTGGTCGTAAAAGGTCATCAAACAGAAGGCTAATAGTATATACATATCTTAAAGGGTACTTCCTGCATATTTTTCGCTTTGCTTTTTACTTACGTACTTTAGACCGAGACTATTCGAGACGAGAGGAAACCGATATAAGGGACGACTTAGTACTCGCAAACAGTTACGGCTATATAGAAATAACGCATATACAAGTAGATATATAGATATATAGATATGTAGATATATAATTAGGACATATCCAACACGAGGGTAGCTAAGGCCTTTCTAAACATGCAAATAGCCTCTAGAAAACCCCTTAGCGCTAGAAAAACTCTCATATCTAAGCGATATGCCCTAGAGTTAAAATAAAGCTATATATAGAATATATAGGTGTATAAGTGGAAGGGAGAACAATAATATAGCTCTAAAAGAGAATGGTTCGAATAAAGAGCCTACTACTAATGTAGTAGCCATACAAATAATACTCGCCATAGCCACCTATATCCCCACTATCGCATATCGCATAATAATGAAACGATTAATTAAACAACCACGAACGCTATGGCCTCAGAACGGACCCACTAATCTATAGTTCCTACAGTTCCTTACTATTACGAATGGCAGGACGTATGGCATGAGAGGATAAATGAGAATTATACGGGACTTAATCGTATAAGAACACGCTACACTTAGTATAGGGCTACCTCAACGCGAAGGCCACCCCAACGCGAATCGATTTTACGCCTAAATTCTAAAACTTTAAGTATAGCGTATTTCTATACGATTACGGTGCATGGATTATAGGCGAGACTAAGTGCTTTTTCTATATCCGCGCGTATATCCCGTAAGGAGCATGCGCACAGTAATATACCACGGCATATACATTCGCTCTTTCGATTTACCTCCGCAGCTGATCGGTAGTATATCCCAAACAGTATACATCCACCCAATAATCTCATTTCCCGAGGAGATGCCCATATATCCTCCATACATCTCCGAGCCCAAAGTTCTCCTAACATCCGCCATTCACGCCTCGCCATACATCGCAAGACTCCAACACTACCCCCAAGTCACGGAGATATATTCTTTTCCTAAAAGATACGGTGAAGATTCCGCAGTGCGTTATTAATATCCTGAAGTTAGCTTAAAGCGTTAATACGATCGACGATCTACAGCGTAGGTTAGTATTAGATGAAATATAGAAAGTTCGTAGATTATACCTAACGGCTCAGCTATAAGCCACGCTTAGACGTATTAGTCTTCGCTTAATAGGCTTTTACGATAGCGTTAATAGCGATATCGATTTCATTAATATTATCGAGGCGACCGATTAACTAACGAATTCGATATGTAGATATTAATAGTAACGGCGGATCCGCGATATCCGATAAAACGTTTATAATATTCGCTATAATATGTAAAATATTACTAGTAGAAGCGTCGATAAGACTATATAGATCGAGTTACGGTAGATATATCGTTGACGATTAGCTTAATCGCGAAGGGTGTAAGGTTTCTACTTGAAATATATTAGGAAATAAGACTAACTTATTAGATCTTACGGGATTAAGAACTAGACCTAGCGCCTTAGCGTTATACTAGACAACCGTTTATTATTATTCCCAACCCACTCTCTATATCTTAGAAAATTTATATCTAAATATCACCGCAAGCATAGCTTTCCCTAAAGAAATCCAGTAAACGACATTACAAATCAGGTCGTTATTAGATATTTATAACCTTTAACCCTTCGACGTAAATAGCATCATTCGCGCGGCGACAGAATATATATATAGCCTTTCTCAACCACTTACGAATACTAACGTCTAGAAGAAGCCGGCGACAGATACGAGTTAGGATATAACATTTCGATCGCCAGTCAATATCGTAATAAGGGACTTTCCGCGTAGCATAAACGAGTACGAGACTACGAGGGAGAGAAGGATATAAAGAAAGAGGGTAACGATGGGGTAGAGTAGATGGACGACGAGATATTTATTAATCACTCCGCCAGCGTAGAAGTTACTAATAAATTCAAGATACCCCTAAAAGATTCTTAAACGTCTCGCGGACGAGATAAAGTATTAGAGCGAGCGATTAAGGTATAAAAGTAGCGAGGAGTAGAAGAAGGAATAATATGAAAAGACTGCGGGTTCGTTAGATTAATAAGGGCGTGCGGGATATAGAGGGGGAGGAGGATATGCGGGATATGAAGGGGGAGGGGGACGATAATAAGGACTCGGATTCCCGTAAGGATGAGGAGGAGAACGAAGCTTCCCAGCAGATCGCTCGAAAGCCAGCGTCTCGGCGCATCGATAAGAGAAAACGAGTGTCTCCCTCGAGCAGCGAGATATTCTTAAAAGAGTCGCTTAAAAAGAAGGCTCACGTGAATAGCTCTGCGCTCCTAGTTAAAATTACAAGCGCCGCGAGTAATATAGTAAAACTATCTCGCAGTAAGTCAGAGGCTGGTCC